CTCTACCCGTATCTCTACCTCCGTGAACCTGGCTCTGATACCACTGTTGGGGAATTGATGCGTGTCTCGACCTCTTTCCCCGATTCACACAACCAAACTCTTGTACACTCACACACACACTCAATAATACAAAGACACGACTGTAGAAAAATGACTTTGTATTATATAGAGAAAATGTACAAGAGATATTACAATTACATGGGTAGCACACTTCACTCTTTGTATTAGGAACACCTCACTCACAAGCACTCTCAAGAAGCCTTCTTGGTTCTTCACTCTCTTCTTCCTCCACACTCTATCCAAATGAGGCATCCACACCCCTATTTATACTCCTCACCAAGGCTAGGCTTCTCTAGAACATTCCACACACCTCTTTATCACTAGAATCTTCTAGAAAGCCTCCACATGCTTCCATAATGTTCTAGAAGAATCTAGAGTACTCCACATAGTTCTAGAATATTCTAGAGAACATTACATTCTTCCTCACGCTTCTAGAGACTTCCACACTTCTCTAGAAAGCTCTAGAATATTCTAGAAACTTTTAGGCTATTCTACACATTTCTAGAGACTTCTACACTTCTCTAGAAAACTCCACAACATTCTAGAGAATTCTACACATCTCCACCAACTTATAGAATTCTCTAGAATCTTCCCTCTCACAAATCTTTGGAAATATTGAATTAATATCCTAATACGAATAACCTTTTTGTTGATTATAAAAATTTTCTTCAATTTTTTAAGATTATGTTATTTTGGATTCTAGTTCTTAGGATCTATTTGGTTAAAAGAAAATTATTTTTTTGAAAGATTACAACTCTACTTTTACATTTAGGGTGCATAAGTGGAAGAAATCATTTTTTCTTGGAAAAATAATTTCTCCAAGAGGAGAAAATGAACTTTTTGTATGTTTTGGAAGAAATTTGATTATTATTCAATCTTCAGATACTTTAATTTCTCGGTTGAGTTCATTCCCCCCACCCACCCCCATCCTCTCCCCCTCCCCCGCCCCGACCACCCTCTCTCTCCGCCTGCCCCTTAAAGAATGAAGCACTAAAAAGATTTGAAATTGATCGTGTATAAAAAACAATGCCCCCCCCCTAAAATATTTAAAATTATCACAAAATATCTTTGTTTTTATTCAAATATATAGTAGCAATGTTTCAATAAAATATGTGTGGGAGAACAATTTTTCGTGAAACTTATTTTCTCTTAGAATAATTGTCTATACACATATTTTCCTACAACCAAATGCATTGTTAACTTCCAATATTTTTTAACTCTTTAAATTACTTTCTACCTTGTTTTAGTATCTTCCAACACTTTTTATTTTCTCCAAATTTAATTCTTCTAACTTTTTCCAACTTTTTCCAAATCTCTCTCTACTCTTTTTAATTTTATCTTACATCATTTGATTTGTTTCAATAGTTATTAGCACGGTTCTAGAGCCACTAGCTCCGGGTGGGAGGGTTTACCGGGATGTCGAGGGTAAGAACTATTAATTTTGTGAATGGAGCACCGTAAGTACTCCAATTAAAGCTAGTGTCATCCAGAGACACTCAAAGTGAGTGGATGTAGAATCCATCCATATTATTATTACTACTACTACTACTATTACTATTATTATTAGTACTTAAAAATGTATGAAATTAGAAATTTTTACATGCATGTAAATGCATATACAACGAATAAACAAAAATAATTTCATCCAAATTTATAATATAAAACTCCCAAAAAGGCCCACGATGACACTTTGTTATCCACATTTGTGTTTTTATATTTTTTTAGTTAGTTTTTATTTTTAATAATTTAATTTAATAATTTTTCTTGTCTAGCTTATTTAGTGGAGTGAAAAGAATACAAATTAGAAAATAAAGTCTTTTTTCCAGTTTTTTAGATTATATTTCCTTTTTGAAAAATTTCTTTTTAGAAACAAAAGTTATTTTTTATGCAACCCGTTAATTAGAATTAAGCTTATGTATCAAAAATATGCCACATAGATATGCCACATGTTACGCTTCTCGAGTTAATAATTGACTTTTATAGATAAAGGATATGCAAATTTTTGTCTCTATGTTAGTATTATATCCTAAAACATGGAAGAATAGCTTTCGTGCCCTTGTGATTTGAAAAATAAGTCTCGAACAATAATATTCGCTCTCTTTTCAAAACTTAGTTATAAATCTATATGATTTCTAAAAGTTTCATGAATTCCCCCTCCATTAGTAAAACTCAGGCGTTTGCATTTCACGCTATGGGAGTGCAGCTGAAGTTTTAAAATAGAGGATTAGTACTCATTTTCTAAACCATAGGTGCACAAGAATGTGGTTTAATTTTTATTCATTTTTTTATTTTTTTCTTTTTGTTTCTCCATTTTCTTCTCTTTGTTTCATTTCAAGAAGTTTTTTAATTTGTTTTTTATAATTATGCCTTATTATATTTTAAATTTCAAAATTGTTCATGTTTGAAATAAAGAAAATAAAAATATAACATATATTCTATTTGTTTCAAATTGAACATTTTTTTATTTTCTAAAATAAAACAAAAAACTACTTTTTAGGACATTCAAGAAAAAAATCAGTAATAGAATAATAAAATAAAATAAAATAATAACAAAAGAAAATGAAAAAAGAAAAAAAGATACAAAAATACTCTAATCGAAAAGATAAAATCGTAGCCATGGAGAGGGGTGATAATTTTTTGCAATGTTCAGAAAAAGTCTTTTTTTAGATGTCTCAAAAACATTATTCTTTTTAATTTTAAAAATAATAAGGGGAAATTTTTACAATATTTTGAAATTGTTAGGCATCGGTCCAAAAAAGTATTTATTTTTATCATTCTGAAAGTATTTTAATTTATCCAAAAATTTAAATCTTTGGACGTTCCAAAGAAAAGCATATCAGTCAACTTCATGGATACATTTCCACTTTTCAATAAGAGAATTTTTGCATCCTTTTGTTTTTTCATTTCCTTTTTGTATTTTTCTTTTGTTTCTATCTTTATCTATTTTCTTTTTATTTTTTGAACGTACAAAAAATAGTTTGTTTACTTTTGAAAATTTAAAAACAAAAATGTTTAACTTTAGATAGAGAAAGTATATGTTATATTTTTTATTTTGATTTTTTCATTTCAAATACAAACTAATTTTAATTTTAAAACATGATAAAGAAGAATTCAAAAAAGAAATTCAAGAATGATAATAGGCACTATGCCATGTAGATTGGAAATAGGCATTAATGTCCCCCCCTTTTTTTACACAAAACTGAAGGAAAATAATACAAATCGAGGTGGTGTGTGTACAAGATTTTTGAAATGACAAACTTTTTTTAAATAAATTTTGAAAATAAATGATTTATTCATACCTATTTTTCAAACCACACGGAGCACTAAAACTATTTTAATATATTCTATTCTATGTGTTATTCGGTACTTTAAACTATAAATATATGAATATCAAGATTATATTTTTTTCAATTTTCAATTTTCTACTATAATATTTTTCTCCTTGAAAAATTATGTTCCAACAAAGGAAAACAAAGGGCCAAAAAGTCATACTAATAAAGATGATGAATTTTTTTTTTTAGAATTTGTATTTCCTTTTTGTACTTATTTTTATTTAAAAACAAAAGTTTTATCCGCTATAAGCACTCCATATTTCATAAATAAACTATTAAAACTATCGGTACCGTGATATGAATACATATAATATCTCATAACAAAATTTAAATCTTGATAGATTTTTTTGTATTCCCTATAATATTTTAATTTTAAGGAAATTATAATTATTAAAAAGTTATGAATTACATTAAACCATAAAATTTTTCTTATTAAAAATTATCATATATATTATTAAGACCCATAACGAACTAATTCTTTTTCAATCAACTTTTCATCTTTAATTAGGTGATATAAGATGAGCTATATTTTAGCTCAATAAATTTGCATACAAAAGAATAGATTAATAATATTTTTTAAAAACTTATACTTTACTCAAAAGACTTTTAATATCATTGTCATTTTTACGAAAAAGAAGACCGAGTTAATCATGATAAGTTTCTTGTTTATGAATAATTCATTTAATTTTTTTTATAAAACTTATATGTTTATTTCGTTTACATAATTTTCAATAAGTTTAAAAAACCATGATTTTTAATATAAAATACATTGTTTTAAACTCATCAAATGTTAAAAGTTATCTTAAATATTTTTTCATAAATGTTAAATGAGAATTTAAAGCATGCCATGTAGGATGACACATGTCAACATTATAGAGACACGAGTCTCAAATATTATAGTAAAGGATATCAAGAACTCCTTCAGTGAAGAACATTGCTGTCGAGGAATCCTGCCCAACCATCAATCTTAAAGAAGTTGTCGGACAAGGGTTGTTTTATAGAGACAAACCCTAGGGGATTTCCGCGTCTACTGTTCACGATCGACCGGCATCGCGTCCATCATCATCGCCTGCTGCTGTTGCCGAGTGCCGGAACGGTTGACCGTTGCTAAAGAACGATCGAGTGGGTCGACCGTCCTGACGACAGTTTCTCTTGATCGCTGCTGCTATTCGCTCCATCGTTGACATGTGTCATTCGGTATGTCTGAAGAAACACTCATGAAGATTATTTCCAACAAGAATGAGGGACGAGAGGAAGAGGAAGTTGGGACGCGTCGTCGTCGCATCTCTCCGTATGATTTGTCCTCGAGCGACAATCTGGATATGATTTTGACCCAT